ACTGGGGGATCAGTATTGTGTGACTTCTGGGTTGTTTAGACACCCAGAATGGCAGTGAAGCTTGAAACATTTTGCCAGTGTTGTGACTGACGCTGGTACTTCTTGCAATGTCTTAGAGCAGGGACTGTGATTTCAGGACCAGCCTGGGCTACACAGTCTGTTCCAGGACAGCCTGGGCTACACAGTCTGTTCCAGGGCAGCCTGGCTTTCCGAGAAATTTATATTCATTTATAGTGAATCTAGCAGATGTTCAGAATATTAATCATTTCTTTCTTTTCCACAGTTTGTTCATTTCCACATTTTGTCTTATTAAAACAGCTTCATTTTTATTTGTATTCTCTAAACTAAATTTCTTACTTTATTTTCCAATTTTTATCTACCCGTGAGTAAACTATTATCATTGTAATATTTTTGTCTTTTAAATCTTTCCAGCATATAAATTGGCTATTTCTGAGTTCTGAAAAAGTTTTGTAGAATTTGAAGCATGTTTCTCTGTAATTATGTATAATTTCTTGAATTTCAGATTTATAGATATCATACTTTGTAGACAGAAAAAATACAGGCTCTTCTCAAAATGTTAGATTAAATAAGATGGCCTGTTGATAAACCCAAGGTTGTTTTGTCTCTGTTGGAATCCACCTTTTCCCCCCTTATTTTAAGTCTTCCTCATGGATTGAGCAAACTCTATTCTTTGACTTTCCTAAGTTGATAGTTTTATGATTGGATGCGTGTTCATTAAGCATTTTGTCAGCTACCACCAGGGAGTTCATTCCTACATTCTCCTTTTGGCTACTTTTAGACTAACACGTATTGTTATTTATGCATATTCAGTATAAAATAATAAAAAAACTATATATCATGAAAGATGGAGCAACATGTAGATTTTTTTTTTTTTGATCTTTCGAAATAGGGTTTCCCTCTGTAGCCCTGGCTGTCCTGGAACTCTAGCTATAGACCAGGCTGACCTCAAACTCACAGAGATCCGCTTGCCTCTGCCTTCTGAGTGCTGGGATTTAGACCGCACCACCACTGCTCAGCCTCCATATAGTTTTAATTTGCATTTCTCTAATGGCTAGGAAATTTAACATTTTTTCCCCTGTGTCTAAGAACTGTAGAATGTTATCTGCAATGGGATAGTTTGACCTTTTCCTTTTTGTATCCTCGTTCCTTCTCTTGACTCATCACTCCAGCTAAGATGTTCAGCTGTATGTTGAGTAAGAATGGAAAAAGTGAGCTAGGTGGTGGCTCATGCTTTTAATCCCAGCACTGGGAAGGCAGAGACCAGTAGAGTTCCCAGCCAGCCAGGCCTCCACAGTGAGATCCTGTCTCAGGAAAAAAGTGGAGAAAGGGACATTCCTTCTTGCAAGATGGCTCAACAGGTGTATGTACTTGTATGACCTGAATCTGATCCTTAGGACCCACATGATCTCATGACGTTTTCTGACCTCCACACACACACACACACACACACACACACACACTCACACACACACTAAAAAACAAATCAAAAAGTGAATGCCCTTGTGTTGTTCTTGATTTTAGTGGAAATGCTTTCAGGTTTTACTATGTAGTACAATTAATGTTGGCTATATTTTTATCATATGTAAGTCTTTTCAGGGCTTTTTTGAAAGGATGTTGGATTTTGTCAAAACTCTTTCTACATCTGTTGGTATGAAACTGATCTGTCTCCCTGAGGCCATTGATGTGATTATTACATGTATTGACTTATGTATGTTGAATCAGCCCTCCCTCTCTGCTGTGGTGAATGAGCTTTTTGGTGTGCTCCTCAATTCTGTTGGCCGGCTTTTTTTTTTTTTTTTTTTTTTTTTTTTTTTGAGAACGTTTGCATCTGCGTTAAGCAGGGGAATTGGTCAGTACTTTTTCCTTATTTGTTATGTCTTTATAAGAAGAGGTTGGTACTGTTCCTCCCATTTCTGCTCTGTGGAATAACTTGAGGCGTTTAGAAACCATTGCTGTGGAGTTGCTAGTTTTTGGAGGACTCAGGTTGCCTTTATTGCCATGTTTATTGTGTTTTTGCATCAGGACTTGAACATCTGGGGTTAGGTCACTGGTTGGAATTTTCTCATTGTATTTTCTCTTCCTTGTTTTTTCAGTGGAACTGCTTGCAGTGTTCAAGAAACGGTTAGATTGTTCAGGTTGAGGTGTCATTTCCCGCTGTTAGAATGGTGTAGAGCCCAGTCCTAGTTACCCCACCCCGAGAACAGAATATTGTTCATGTAAACAACCATCTCTTATTTATTCCAGTGCGGCTCTCATTGCGTTCCTTCTTGGGCTTCCAGATGCCTTTGAAACCCTGTCTGATCTGCACATTTGTTTTACTTTTCTCAGCTTTTACCAGACTCTGATAAAACGGACTTCTCTTCTGTAGTGCCCTGGTCTTTCATGAAAGGTGTGAAGGACTGATTTGGAGTATGCATTTTCGTGTTCTGAGCAGACCCTTACTTCCTGGTGCTGTTTCCTCTTGAAATGTTGTGTGTATCGAAGGGAGCAGTTGTGCCACCGTGCCAGTGATGCCGCCTTCTACCTCAGTTGTCTGTCTGTCCTTTTGGTTTTTTGAGTCACGGTTTCTCTGTAGCTTTGGAGTCTGTCCTGGAACTCGCTCTTTAAATCAGGCTGTCTTCAAACAACTCCCAGAGATCCGCCTGTCTCTGCCTCCCAAGTGCAGGGATTAAAGGTGTGCAGCACCGTCTCCTGGCATACCTATTTTTCTAATCGGTAACACTACATATATATTGTGCTCTTTAGATATTAGTAAATATCTTCTACAAGATTGCAAAGTAGTTTAAAAGTATATACATCAAGACACATTTCTTTTCCATTAATTGCTGTCTGTGGTTCAGTTTGTCTGAATAAACTGTATAACCAAAGATTTGATAACTGCAACTTTCATCTAGTCTGTTACCTGGCCCAGTACTTGGAAAGTACTTTGCATACCAATAAATGTAGCAGGTCTATTTGTGTGAATTGGCTGGACACACTGGTATTAGGCCCTGCATATCCTTTTCTAGACTTCTTTGTTATATTCAGAAACATTATTTTGGCCAGGTGGTGGTGGTGCACGCCTTTAATCCCAGCACTCGGGAGGCAGAGACAGGAGGATCTCTGTGAGTTTGAGACTACTTGGTCTACAAAAGCTGGTTCCAGGACAGGCTCCAAAGCTACAGAGAAATGCTATCTTCAAAAAGCACAAAAAGCAAAAAACAACAACAACAACAACAAAAAACCCCACATTATTTTGATAAATAGTATGCTTTGCTAAAGTGCTCCTGAATTATATTGTTCCAATTCTGTACCTCAAATGCAAAACTGATTCAGAAAGCCCTAAGAAACTATTGGTATTCCTAGTGATTATCCTTGCTACTCCAACAAAAGTAAAGTCTGTCTTAAGAAATTAAAGATCAAATGTTGCTTTTTGATAACCTTTTACTTTTTTGATATTTTCACAGTGCTGGCTAATGACCGAGTTACATGGCAAATGCTCTATTGGAATCAGTTAAATCACATGGATATATATGAAGAAAGAGGGCTTGGCATTAAATTACATTAGATTGTCCCTTAAATATGAGGAGCCATTGAACATTTCTTTATCTGGCCATTTTAAGTAATGCAAAATCATTTTCTTTTTGCTCAGAAATAGTCTCAGTTTTAAAAACCCATTTAGCAAGAGTGGTGGTGCACATCTTTAATCTCAGCACTGAAGGGCAGAGCAGGTGGGTCTCTGTGAGTTTGAGGCCAGCTGGTCTACAAAGTTCTAGGCCAGTCGGTCCTAAAAAGTAAGACTGTCCCTTAAAAAAATAAACCAACACATATATAACATGTATATTTACTCAGACATGATCTGTATATCATGAAATTCATTGATCTGAGGTAAAGTATTCCATGATTTCTTTCTGTTAATTTGATATTTATGTAGCCATCACCACAGTATAATTTTAAAACATACACATCACTCTGAAAAGAAACCATATGTACATTTTCATTATTCTCACACCTCAGGCTATCCTGTCTAATAATGTATCTTCATACAAATGACTGTAAAGTGATAGAAGTGAATACTGTAATATTTGCTAGAATTCTTATGCTTTTAGGGTTTTTTTTTTTTTGGTTTTGATCGGGTTTGTTTGTTTGTTTGTGTAAGGCAGGGTCTCTACGTAGCCCTGGCTGGCCTGGAACTAGCTATGCAGACTAAGCTGCTTTTGAATTCACAGAGATCCACCTTGTCTCTACCTGTCAAGTGCTGGGATTAAAGGTGTGCGCCACCATGCCCAGCCTACCTCTTTGTTTTAAAGGTTGATTTAGAACGTGGTATTTCTTTTTCTTTTTTTGAGGTAGGGTCTCATTTTGTAGCTCTGGCTGTCCTGAAAGTCACTATCAGTACAGGCTAGCCTAGGACTCTCAGAAATCTGCCTGCCTCTGCCACCTCAGTACTGGGACTAAATGTGTACAATACCATGCCCATTGAACAAGGTCTTTCTCTTTTTGAACAGCAAAAATATTTAATAGTTGAAATAGTAATAAGAGTTACATGAGTAAAAGAAGACTCTTTTCAGGAAACATTTTAGAAAAGTTCTTGCATGGATGTAAAAGTTAACATGCAAAAGGAAATTGCCAGAGGCTGTGTCTAGAGAGAGACAGGAGTTGAAAGCATGTGTGCTGTGCCCACAGAGGACCTGAGTCAGTTACCAGCAACTGTCGCCTGTAACCCAGTTACAGGGCCATCCACCTCCCCGGCCTCTCTGGGGCACCTGTGCACACACGCATTCATACACACACAATAATAAAAATAAATCTTGAAAAAGAAAATTATTGGGTAAAAATTTATTCAGCAATGAAATTTGAAGAATTTAGTAGGAAAATTTATAATTTTTTAAAAAATTATGTTGTATATTAATAAAGAAATCTTACAGATTCTTATAGTCAATAGTATTATCAAAGTAGCATCAGTTTATTATTGTGTTAATTCCTTTTTTTTTTTTTAGCTTCCCAGAATCAAGAACGGCTGTGTGCATTTAAAGATCCCTATCAACAAGACCTTGGGATCGGTGAGAGCAGAATCTCTCATGAAAATGGGACAATATTGTGCTCCAAAGGGAGCACGTGCTATGGCCTGTGGGAGAAATCCAAAGGGGACATCAATCTTGTGAAACAAGGCAAGTAATTGTTTTTTAACTTAAAATCCCCCCCCCCCCGTGTGTGTGTGTTTCTTTTTGGTGCTGAGAGTCAAACACAGAATGTCATGCACATAGGTAACTCTTTGCCACAGGGCCATATTTTCAGCATTGTTTTTCATACAGTTGGAGCTTATCTAGCAAAGATGTGTAGGTAGAAAAAAAAAAAAAGATGTGTAGGTAGTTAAAACCCTCTCCAGAAAATGGTGAATAAGTATGTAAACCCATGCATTTATCTGTATGTTTACCCACAAAGCTCCACATTTGTAGAAAAATTTTTACTTTTAGTGTAGTTTGTTTGTTTGATCGACTGAGATAGGGTCTCTCTGTGTAGATCAAGATGATTGATTGATTGTTTGATTGACTGACTGACTGACTGACTGACTGACTGAGATAGGGTCTCGTTGTAGACCAACGTGGCCTAGAACTCAAAAGAGATCTGCCTTCGTTTGCCTCCCAAGTGTGGAGACTAAAGGCATACCATGCCTGACCTTTTAATAACATTTTATTTTAATAACATTTTATTTTAATAACATCTTTGTCTTTATAAGTTAATGTATGTGAATGAAGTGTGGGAAAAAAAACTACTCAGAAAAACCAAGGACTGTTACTCAGTTCTCTTTAAGAAATATTATTTTCATATTGATTTGTTTCCTTTAAGTATATTTTCCATGTAAAATGGTTACATGTCTACCAGTCTTCTTTGAAAATTAGGATAATACTATATAATAATTCCATGCCCTTCCCCCCACGTTACTGTAAATAATTTCTAAAAACATTGTCCCTCAACACTGTATTTTCTATGTACATGTTTCACAGTTTACTTACGTGCTTTGGATAAGATGTTGTTTCAAGATTTTCACTGAATGCGTTATCCTGCAGTGAAAAACATTAAACGTATATAAAGGTTGTGTCTGATCTTTTTTAAAGTAGATTCTTTGATGTAGAATTAGCAGATCATAATATGTGTGATTACTTTAAAGTCTCTACATTAAAATTGCTATGAATTTTTCCAAAATTTCCATCATACATGCGCTTATTATAGAATTGTATGAGAGCATCTGTCAGTAGCACTTGGTTATGATTGCACTTGGTTATATTGTTATTTTAAAAATTTAGGAGAACTTAAATCTAAAATAGTTTGACGGCAGTTTTAGGAATAATTCTTATAATAGTAGTAAAGTTAATCATAACCATGTTGTTGGTTGATTTTTTTTCCCTCATGAAATGTCTGTTGTATTCTCTACCATTTTTTCAGGTTGTTTTATGACTTATATATTACTTAGTTTTATATTACTGCGATTATTTCATAGTTTGCGGTTTTACTTACTGTATTGTTTCCTAGCTTATTCTAATATTGTTTTATAGGATGTTGGTCTCACATTGGTGATCCCCAAGAGTGTCACTATGAAGAATGTGTAGTAACTACCACCCCACCCTCTATTCAGAATGGAACATACCGTTTTTGCTGCTGTAGTACAGATTTATGTAATGTCAACTTTACTGAGAATTTTCCACCTCCTGATACAACACCACTCAGTAAGTACTTACAGTAACTTCTTTATAATTTCTTGCTTTATGAAAATATAAAACAGATAACATTCAAGGTTAGTGGAAGTGAAAGGGAAAATTCTAGCCTTGTAAAATTTTATCTAAAGCCCCAAAAGAGATTTAGCAGCACCAGCAAAGCATCATTATATCACCAACTAAGTCTGAATAAAGATATATTTTTCCTTTTGTTAGAAAATGGTGGTGTGTGCTTGTACTTCCAGAACTCCAAAGACTGAGGCAGTAGGATTATAAGACAGTCTGAGATACCTGGTCAATTCTTGGCCAGTCTGGACTACATAACAGGATCATGTTTCAATAAACAAAAAAATCAAAACCTTAAGGAAGGGAATTAGTGATATCAGGAAAGCTACAGCTAGTTGTGGTGGTGCCTGTCCGTGATCTTACCCAGCACTTGGGAGACAGAAGCTCTCTGTGAGTTTATGCCAACCTGGTTTACATAGTCAGTTCTAGGCCAGCCAGGGCTAGACAATGAGACCTTGTCTGAAAAATAAAACAATAACAGAAAAGAAAAAAAAAGAAAACTGTAGCTATAGTTTAGAGGTGTGCGCCTGTTGTCCATCTTATTCTGGAGGCTAAGGAAGAAGGGCCACTGGAGGTCATATATTAAAGTCTAGTGTGAGAAATATAGAGAAATCATAACTCAAGAAACAGACAACAGCCAGCATTGTGGCATACGCCTTTAATCCAAGCACTGGTAGGCAGAGGCAGGTCAATCTATGTGAGTTTTAGACCAACTTGGTCTATGTAGCAAGTTCTAGACCAGCCAGAGCTCCATGATGAGACCCTGTCTCAAATGAAAAAACAAAACCCAAATTAAGCAAAAAAGCCAACCAAACAAAATAAACATTAGCAACAATGTCCTTTATAAAGGATATGCATGTAACTATAGACTAGAGGGAAGAGATAGATTGTGTAATTGAGACTTGCAATACAGCTTATTGATATAGACAGAAATTTTAAAATATGCATACATGTATTATATATATACTGTGGTGGTTTGAATGAGAATGACTCCATAGGCTTACATGTTTGAATGCTTGGTTTCCAGTTGGTGGAACTGTTTGGGAAGGATTAGAAGGTGTGGCCTTGTTAGAGGAAGTGTGTCATTGGGGGTGGATTTTGAGGTTCCAGAAGTCTACACCATTTCCAGTTAGCTCTTTGACTTGTGCTTGTGGATCAGATGTGAGCTCTCAGCTACTGCTAAGCACCATGCCTGCCTGCCCCATATACTCCCCACCATGATGGTCCCCAGTAAACTGTTTCTTTTATGAGTTACCTTAGTCTTGAGTCTTTTCACAACAGTAGAAAAGTAGCAAAGGCAGAAGGTGGTACCAGGGAATGGCATGTTGGAAGCTCATACCAGGAGCTGGGGAGACAGTAGTGCTGAGAGTGATGTGGGCTTTGGCAGACAAGCGCAAGAGGTTTCAGAGGGGAATAATATTTGTAACTAGCCCAGCATCCGTTCTTGTTATATTTTAGCAAAGAGTGTGGCTACTTTTTGCCCTTGTCCTAAGAATCTGTTTGAGGCTGTGAGTGCAGGTGCCAGAGGAAGCCAGAAGGAAATGGTAGCTTTACAAGTGTTTGTAAGCTGCTCTGTGTGGTGTTGAGATCCAAAGTTTGGATTCTCTGCAAGAGCATTAGATGCTTTAACCCATGAAGCCCTCTTCCTAGCTATTTTGAAGTGCTAAAAGGACTTTTCAGCTAAGCAGAAATTGAGCTGCTATAATGACTAGACTGTCCTATAATTAACAGCAAAAATGTTCTGTCCTCAGAACTCATAAAAAAAGAAAAAGCTAGTCATGTTGGCATGGGCTTGCAATCTCAGCTCTGGGGGAGACAGGCAGAGAATGGAACTTGCTGTCCAGCAAGCCTAGTTAAAAAAGAAAGCCTCACGTCCTAGTGAGAGGCCTTCTCTCAGAAAACCAGCTGGACAGTGCCTGTGGAATTACATCAAGCTTCCTGTGCACACGCATAAGTGCACACACAGCTGTATGTACACAGGTACATACATGTGTGTCTACACATACACTCAAATTACAGTGTGCTAAGGGCCAGTGTGGGTCAAGGGAATAAGTGGGCACTTTAACATTGTCTCAGTGTCAAACTTCACTGATAACAATATTGTGGTTCAATAGTAGTCTAAATAGATAAAAGTAAGAGAATAGATGAGAATACATAGAATTCATATCTGTTTCATATGAAATATTATGTAACTGTTGAAGCAAACAGCTATAAACTCAGGAAAAGTGGTGCATGCCTGTTACCCAGCACTTGGAGAAGTGGAGATAGGAGGGTTCAGAGCTCAGGCCAACCTCAGTTATTTAGCAAATTCATGACCACTCTGGGTTTTATGAGATCCTGCTTCAAAAAAACTTAGTAAATAAATAAACATAACAGTAAATACTATGAAAAATACATAATGATCTTGAAAATAATTATTTCGCTAAACAAGAATCCTGGGACTGGAGAGATGGCACAGTGGTTAAGAACAGTGGGCTGCTCTTGCAGAGGATCCAGCTTGATCCCCAGCACCCACATGATTGCTCACAACTGTCTGTAACTCCAGGTCCAGGGCCTCTGTTCGCCCTTTCTGGCCTTCATGGGCACCAGTCATGCACATGATGCGCAGATAGTATTCAAGCAAAACACCTAAACTAACAAAATAAGAAAGGAAGTGAAAATCGGGCGTGTAATGATTGCATCTTACTGACATAACCATACTACAGTTTGAAGGACTATAAAGAAGCTATGCCTTTTCCCCCACTCTGTCTCTTGGAGCACCTTGTTAGTCCAGAGTGGCCTCTAACTCTCTGTGCAGTCTAGGCTACCTACAAACCCAAAATCTTCTGTTTTCACCTCCTGAGCCTTGCAATTACAGGAATGTACCACTGTACCAGACTTGTTTCTTTTTAAAAAGTGCTCTTTTGAGCTAGAGAGATGGCTCAATGGTTAAGTGCACCCACGACTCTGCTAGAAGACCCTGTTTTGAGTTTCGACATCCACGTGGTGGCTCAAAACATCTGTAATTCTAGTCCCATCTGGTGCTGTCTGCTGACATCTGAGGGCACTAGTCATGTATATTGTGCACAGACATACATGCATGCAAAATACTCACAAATAAAAAAAATTAAATTAAATTAAAAAATTGCCCTTTTGTCCCTATGAACCATTATATTGTTGGGCACATAGTGAGAGTACAGTAAATGCTGAACATATAAGCAAAGAGTTTGTGCAAGTGTACAAAGTATGAAATATTATCAAAATCTTGAAAGGAATTCTGTTTTTAATCATAAAAAAATATTTGAAGAAATTAAGTTGATACCCCTCTTCTGTATACCTGTGGTACACAGACATTTATGCAGGTAAAACCTCCATATACACAAAATGTTAAAATTTAAAAAATGTTCCCTATATAATGGAGGTATGTCATTTGAAAGCTGGATACTGCTTCCTGCTAAGAAGACAAAGACTGTATAATTACAAGAGCAAGTGCAAATCAAAACAAAAATTATTGGCCCCTCATTTATATTCATTCTTAAGTACAAAACACTACTTTTAGTTCCTTGTCTCTACACCTCAGTCTGATGAGGCATCAGACTGGGCAGTGGTGCCACACTCCTTTAATTCCAGCACTCAAGAGGCAGAGGCAGGCAGATCTCTGAGTTTGAGGCCAGACTGGTCTAGAGAGAGATCCAGGACAGGCTCCAAAGCTCCAAACCAGGGCTGATGCACAGAGAAACTCTGTCTCAGAAAAAAAAAAGTATCAGAATATTTTAAGCACTGATTTTAATTTTTAAAGTAATACTAGAACCCAGAAAGCTTTCCCATTTTATGATCACATTTTCAAACAAACATCCTTGAAAAATAGAGCCTCTTTTAGAATTTATAAAGAAAACACTTCATCACTCTACATAGTAAGGCTACATTCTAGAAAATAGCAGAAAGTACTTAGTAGTCTTTGTTTATTCTAATCATTTCCTTAAAGGTTATTTTTACCTGAACAGCTTATTTCTTTTAAAAAGCACTTAGAAGTTTTTAATGTATATAGGCGCTTTGGTTTCATATATGTGTGTGCAGTATGCTTGGTGCCTGCAGAGGCCAGAAGAGGGCCTTATGTCTCTTGGAACTAGAGTTACAGATGGTTGTGATCCACCATTGAGGGTCTTCTGGAAGAGCCGTGAGTGCTCTTAACTGCTGAACCATTTCTCTAGCCTCAGAAACCATACATTACTTTTATTTATGTGTATGTGTGTTCCTGTGTGAGTGTCCGCCACATGTGTGCAGCTACCCACAGAGGCAAGAAAAGGGTTTCAGATCCTGGAACTGGAATTACAGGAGGGTTATGAGCCACCTGATGTGGGTTCTGGAAACTGCATTCAGGTGTTTGGGAAGAGCAGCAAGTGCTCTTAGCTGACCTAGCAGTGGTTAAAGAATATATAGGTCACTGGGGGATAAAAAAATAAGCTCTTTTCAGAATAAAACATTCCCGACTTCATTAGACACTCTGGAATGTATATTAGTAACTAACTAAAGCGTGTAACACCAATGGACTTTTAAGATGTGGTGGGAATTTTTTTTGGGAAACATGGCAGCCAATGGTGTAACCATAAATGAGTATCTAATTGTGCTGAGCCATAGAGCCGCCCAGTCATTCAGAGATTGCTTTGATGTAAAGTTAGGATGATGGAGAAGGGGTATTCTGTAGCACGAATAATAAAAACCCAGAGATAGTTATTGGGGTTCAACCTGAAGATCAGAAAAGTAAAGCAGCCAGACCAAAAATGGGTGATTCTCCTCCACGAATCCTCAGATTGAGACTGAGACTGAGGGCTGTCTCTTTCTGCCTTGTATTCCTCTCCAGTGCTGGGATTAAAGGTGTGCACCACCACCGCCTGGCCGCTAGTGTGGCTGCTGGATTTAAAGGTGTGTACCACCACCGCCTGGCCGCTAGTGTGGCTGCTGGATTT